GCGACAGCCCCGTGTGGATAGCTTGGAATAAGCCACTGTCAAGAACCACTACCGCAGAAAGGATTTGAAAACGGTGTGAAGTTTGAATACTGCTGATTCACAGCGAAGAGCCGGAAGCAATTAAGCCTGTATCTTGGGCTTTACATTTATTATCTAAAACGATAAAGAAAGATGATGAAAAAGTTCTGCTCACCAAACATCCGCTATATCGCGCTTCATTATATTCGGAAATTCCTCGGCTTGCAGCAATCGTAGCAGACAGCATATGCTGCGTATTTTCGTCTCATGAGAAGTCATTTCTGTGCTCTATAAAAATCTGCCATAAAACTAGTCGCTTAAACAATTCATGGTTTGAAGCACAGCACAGCATACACTCACAACTTCAGCACATTTTTTTGAAATATTTACATTATAAATGATTACTGAGCAAATTAACATCTTTATGAATATTAAAAAAACAACAAGATGTTGCGGATGACCCGCGAAAAGCCAGCAAAGAAGAAACCGCCCCAGTGAAAAGGGTGTGTGCTGTTTATTGAAAGCAGACAGGGTGCATTCTTCTTTGAAAGGCAGATACACAGTAAGTGTGTTGGCAGGCTGAGATTAGAGCACAGCGTCCGGTGGTGTAGTGGATAGCACGCCGCGCTCGGGCGTGAAGCGGAACAGTTCAATTCCCTTTCGATCCATAACCCTTTTCAAAAAGGGTCCCCGTTCACAACAAATCACAATTAAAAACTGAAATAAAACCTGTTTAAATATATTTGCAAGTGTGTATGCAACTTTCTCCCGGTCTTTCAAGCGAGCGAGATGTACAATCCTGAAAAAGAAATGAAATTTTATAAATACTCACATCTTTCTAAGCCACTCATCTCGAGCTTTTCAAATGCACAACGTTTTACCGCAAAAAATTTCTTTAAAAATTACTCATCTGGAAGACTAAGTCGTCTTACATCCCAATAGTGTTAGTCAAAATCAGCTTTTGTAAAATCATGAGTTTCACATTTGGCAGCCAGTGCGGCTTTTGTGTCACTCTGTCCTATTCAAAGCGGTAGTTACCTTGAAACAGTAAGATCCATATAAGGTAGTTTGTATATTTCTTCACTACTTTCTGGTTTTTGCATAACCATTGCAAGCTCCGCCGCATCACTTCCACCTGTCTGAAAATGTTTTATTAAAAACGACATAAATTTTAGAACTTAAAAAAAGGCTGAAAACTGATTCTTAGATTACTTGTTAAAGCTTCCTCTTGGCACTACTGATAAATTTTACCTCGTTCGGATCAAATACTACAGCCATATGAGTGTCCCAATCAAGCCAACGTCGAATAACTCTATCTTGA